TGACATTTTTCTCAAGAAGACTTTTTGCCTCTCGTCCGCGATGCTTCTTCAATTCTAATTGGTGATGGGGAGTACGCAAAGAGAGTACGCTTCCACCACAAATGCAGTAGAAGGGTTTTTTTTTGAAAGATTATTTTAACACCATGATTTTTACTCGAATATCCGAGGACTTATTTATTACTTGTTGTGTTAGAAATGCCAGCTAAGAACCTCGAAATACAAGCGTCTCGAACATACAAGTATTTCGAGGTACGAGCAAACCTTTAAGCTCATTTTTGCTTCGAGATATGAGTAAAGATTTGAGATACGAGCACCCTTATAGACGCCGACGCAAGGTGGCCGAGCACTCCCATGCCGCTTCACTTCGTTCGTCAACTTTCGTACGCAGCTTCTGCGAGTCTTCCGTTTTGTGTTTGCGTTATCTACGTGGTTTTCTCTCTATTTTGTGCATTTTTTCTTCACAATAGTGATGAGTCCTAAAAAAGTGAGTGGTAAGGATGGTAGTGAGAAGATGAAATGCATGATGGGAATAAAAACCCATGGGGAATAAAGCATGACATTGTCGATAAATATGAGCATGGGGCCTGATAAGGAAAGAAAACAAAACAAAAAAAGAAAAAAAAAAAAAAAAAAAGTGTTATGAATGGATTAATTTTTTTTCTGATTTCTGATGGGAAAAAATGATTTGAGATACGAATACCTCAAGTTATGAGCTTGGCCCTGGAATGAATTATGCTCTTATCTCTTTGGTTTTTCTGTATTATTTGATTAACCTGTTTGTTTATGCTCTCTTTTAGCTCCTAAACATTTTTACAGCAACATTTTAAACTGGATTAACTAACAAATATGTAGCATTTTTAAACAGAGGATTAAAGAATAAGGATGTTTGATTACTGAATGCACACACGCTACGTTTTGTTGATGATGAACAACAGCATTGGACCGGCGAGATAGAGTGAGGTAGAGTCAGATGATCGGCCGTTGTGACTTTCCAAAACAAATCTCTTTAATGCAAGGCTTTCCCACTCGGCCAAAATTAAAAATGCCCACCAAAGTTGCAGGCCAAACTCAATATTTACTAGAAAAATTGACTGGAAATGTGTATGTTTCCCTTCTCTTGAACATCCAATCTGGAACGACCAAAGCTTAACATTATAAACATGTGAGGAAACTACATTTGAAATAAGACAAATATCAGTGCTATTTGTTTCTTATTTTCATCTCTCTCTATCCCTTTCGAGTTCCCTTTTAAAGTAAATATTTTTTTCACAGGCTAACAACAGAAAAACCAAGAATGTATGTGCTATTAAAATGTGCATACATACAGTAATACTATATAAATCCCACCAGCATATAGTGACTATATAATGGCGGGCCAGATCTAATACACATTTGATATGATTTCACGGGCTAAATATAATTCGATTTGGAACTCAGACTTGAGTTTGACACAGTTTTCACACTACTACTACTGTAAGTAGTAGTAATTCACTTACAAAAAGAGCAACTGTGGCTTAGTTAGGCATTCATTTCTAAATGGACATCTTACATTCCCTATAAAAATGTATATGGTAGTGATAGAAATCTTGATATAATGAAAAAAAAACTCTTAAGTAACATAAATACTATTTTTTAATACTTTGAAGCATATTAATAATGCGTAAAAGTTGTTGCCCTCCCATTGTGCATTTAGAAAATTTCCCTATTTTGTGTTATTATATCTCTATATTCCATTTCTGTATAATAAAAAACAATGAATTGATCTGGAACATAACTGTAGTTTGGGTAATCTGTACAAGACTTTGTACAAGAAAATTGGTGCATGTGAATTTTCCCTTTTTTTTTTTTTTAATACATTACGTTTTTCTACTTTCTTCTTGAAAGTTGGAGGGCGTAACGATTAAACCCATGTGCAAGAACAAGTTGCGCAACATCATGATTTTTCCAACAAAAGCCTGCTAACGGCACTCTCCTGACACCGAGCACAGATGATGCCGCATGAAAACTGCATCTTTCAGCCGCACTCAACGACCCCAAAGGAACCCGGGACAAGCGTCACTACTGAGTAAACCGGACCCACATAACTTCTCCATGCTGATGCAACTGCAGCTCCTTCTTTGGCGTGTGTGGTGTTTTTTTTTTAACCTGCTGCATTTTCATCATGCTGCAGAGATTTGCAACAAGCGCAGTTTTCTTTCTCAAAGACCTCTATGAGGCTCGATGTGAACAAAAAAAAAAAAATTCAAAGAAAATAACGTTGAGCAGCAGTCACATGTATTCACATAATCGGTGTTTTTTAAACCCTGCCTAAAGTTTAAAGCCCATTTCTCAGCATCAGCTGACCCGCTCTAACCCACTGATCAGTCCCCGACCGACAATTTCACGCCACATCCACGATCAGTACTGCAACGCACGCACCAAACTGCACACACACATACACACACGCGCGCGCACACAAATGAAAAACACGTATATATAATATTATACAAAATGTTATAACGTGTGTCTGTGTGTGTTTGTGTGTGTGTGTGTGTGTGTGTGTGTGCGTTCGTTCAAGCAAAGAAATGCATTATTTTCATCCTACCTGCGCGACCTGGATCCTGCAGTGCCTGTACCCAAATCTAAAACTGGTAGAACTTTTACTTAGCCTACTCCTGGCTCCTCAGAGGAGTCGCATTAAGAGAGAGAGAGAGAGAGAGAGACAGAGAGAGAGAGAGAGCGAGAGAGAGAGAGAGATGGCACGGAGGGGGGTTGCGCGCCATCCAGTTCTATGCTTCTAGTGTACGTGTATTTTGTTTGCTTGTATGCGTTCGCCTGTGTGCCCGCGCGCGCTACAAAGAAAGAGAATGACTTAAGAGGAGCGGGAGGGGGGGATGTAGCACCTTCATCAAGGGATGCTTCAGTCTCCTAGCAACAACGATCTCTCTCTCTGGCATGGAGATATTTTTATTGGATGGAAGGTAAACTTAGCTATTTGCCGCTTTCATCTGTACACGGGTCCATTGGTCAATACAAAACAAAAAAAAAAAACTGCAGTTGTTATTGAGTCCGAAGAAGAGGAGACAAAATTCCAAAAAAGAATGAGAGAGAATGGCGAGAGAGTGAAGCTGCTCATCGATTCGCGTTTGTTTGAGGTCAAGAATAGACAGCATCCCTTCATGCACCCCTGTCTGTGGGAATTAATATGGCTTCCATGTTTTAGAAAAGAGTCTGCATTTACATGAGCATTTTGAAGAGAATCTCCGATAGTTGTAGAAACAAGCGTGCTGAGTTATAGTTGCGTACGTGTGTAATTGATTTGCATTTCTATCGAGAGATTTGTGATTACAAAAATGCGGTTCACAGAACACTGGACTCTTTTTTTTTTCTTCACTTTCTCGTACTATTACCCTTCCTGAAAACCAAATGTTCACCTTAACTGATCTGATCTGCACATTTTAAATCTTGTCTATCTTGGTCACTGCCAGGATGGATATAGGATTCAAAATGTCAGCATCTTCATTTCTGCAACCTCCGGCTCGTCCTTCAGCCTTTTTTGACAGAGCCATGGTTTATACAGTATATAGAAGCAGGTCCCATTACTGTCTTCCCCTTTAACTTTGCTTCTTTCCCTCCTTGATGACTGTCATCTATAAACATCATGGTCCATGAAGCCCCCCTGTCTGATGCTTCTCACGAAAGGTCTGCTTTGGCCGGTAAAACATAATACATTACTGCTAAATTAAAACCCCCGAGCTAGGAAAATGAACAAAAAACAAACGTCTTTGGAAAGTTGAAAAGTAGCGCGGGGTAAAACAGCCAGCGAGGAGACAGAAGAAGAGCCTACGCCATCAAAGAAAAAGAAAGCTCCAGTTGACAGGCAATTTTATATTTTTAATGAGGCCATAAGGCCTTCAAAACTGCTTCTGCAGTTTGGCAAAAAAAACATCAATGCATATATTAGCAGTAAAATGTGCACAACAGAAAAGGTGCTAATTGTTAGCTTACTTCCAAGCCAGGGACAGATGAGACGAGGATGACGATGAACCACAGGCATCGCTGTCTGTCTAGACGACAGCTTAAAGACTTCAATCATATAAATATATTTTTAAACAGTGTACAATGAAACAATTTTAAACTTCTGCATTAAAAGACAAGCGCGATGTTACGAGGCTGCTGCTAACAAAGGTGCATACACAGCGGCTTAACGTTTAATATCATATTTAGAAAAATAACAGTTTTTATGGCATAATGGAATTCATTTCCGTGCACCTTCCTCCACTTTTGTTGTATACGTCGCCCTTTGTTTTTCCATATTCCTAAAATATTTATTAACAACATTTACTTTTTTTTTTCCTTGCAAAGTTCACTGTTATCTGCCTTTTCAGCGTCCCCGTTTTTAACACCACGTCCATTTAGGGACCCCTCTAACCCAACACTTGATCCAACATTTGCTTTATCTTCTAACTGACATCCTTTTGACATCAACAGACCACATTCAGAATCATACCTTCCACTTTCAAACTCATGGCTCTGTCTGAAACTCCAATTGGGCACACGACACGCTTTACCAGCTTCTCCGTACTCCATTTCTCTTACAATCTCCCCCATAGTAGAACAGCTTAAAACCACTTCCAATGTCCTTGCTTTTGCTTTTTTCCCCATCTGATCTCCTGACCACACAAGACACCCTCCTCCCCTCCAGCTCTCTACCTTTACCAGTCTTTGTACCTACACTATATGACCAAAAGTATTCACTCACCTGCCTTGACTCATACTATGAACTGAAGTGCCATCCCATTCCTAACCCAGAGTTCAATATGATGTCGGTCCACCTTTTGCAGCTATTACAGCTTGTTCGATGTAAAAATAAGTTCATGGTAGTGCATTAATTTAATTGTACCTCTGAAACTGCATCGTTATTGGGTTTTTAAGACGTTGCTGAAGTTGTGTCGCAGTAAGAACAATTTGGAGCGGGCCCCTTCCTCTTCCAACATGACTGTGCAACAGTGCACAAAGCAAGGTCCATAAAGACATGGATGACAGGTCTGGTGTGGATGAACTTGACTGGCCTGCACAGAGTCCTGACCTGAACCCGATAGAACACCTTTGGGATGAATTAGAGCGGAGACTGAGAGCCAGGCCTTCTCGACCAACATCAGTGTGTGACCTCACCAATGCGCTTTTGGAAGAATGCTCAAAAATTCCTATAAACACTCTCCTCAACCTTGTAGCTGCAAAAGGTGGACCAACATCATATTGAACTCTGGGTTAGGAATGGGATGGCACTTCAGTTCATAGTATGAGTCAAGGCAGGTGAGCGAATACTTTTGGTAATATAGTGTATGTACCAAGTCCCTACTCTGACATCTACACACCTACCTTTCCTGTCTCTATGCCTCCCAACATGTCGAAGTTCAGTTTTTATATTGTAAAGTTAGTGAAGTACAAAGAGGTATGCCGTCTGAGGGATTGCATTTTTCATTACAGCTAAAGGCCACAGTGTGTTGCTTTTGCCTTATTTATATTCAGATGTACTGTAAGACAATGGCAGGGGTGAATTTCTTGGTTTTCTGTGCATATGCTGTGTGACATTTTGGAGGAGATCCTGTCAAATCTGATGGGTTGGTTGACTGCAGGACTAAATGTAAAGGGTAACAATTTTAAACCTCACACTTACATGGACAGGCATGAGGTGATAAGTGACAAGCAAATACCCACACACACTTGTGCACTGCGTCAGTCATGGCTTTCCTGGCCCTGAGTTTTGGAGGTGCTAATTTCCACAATAAAAGGTGCCTTTGTCCTCGTGGCATATGCTGGAAACCAGCTTTGTCCTGTCAGGGTCCCACAGCAAGAAAATGTTGTGCTCTGCTTTTACCCAACGAATCAGAGCAAAGCTTAAAATAAGCGCATGTAAAAGGATTGAAAAGTGGAAACAGGTCCTGGGAAATAATCTTAAAAATATGGCATAAAGAAAATTGAATTCCTCCTAGATAAGATTTTTTTCTAACTAAACTGTTGGTGAAAGTGAATCTTACACAGAGTGGTTTATGTTATCAGCAATGCTTATAAATGTTAGGCAGTAGTTAGCAACAGCTCGACTGTTACCTGCCGGGTTCTGTCATGAAACCTGGGCCCCATGGAAGGATTTGAAAAATTAGGTTATTTATCATAAAATGTTGATATAATATAATACTCTTGGAACTGTCCTTAGTAGCACAATTAGCACAGTATATAAGATCTGTAAGAATTCTTATTGGTTCTTCCTCCGATAATGAAAACCTGAAAACGCAATGCCTGGGTTTGGCAAATATGCTGGAATCGCTTGAAATGGTCCTGAGACATTTACCTCAGTTTTGGGGGCAAACTACTGCATATATCGGTTTCGGTTGATATCAGAATCGGAAACTAAGTGTTTCGACGATATCTGCATATAGGATGTTGGCAAAAAGTTAATATCGAACATCCCTACTTTCAATTGAAGGTATATCACGTTAAACTCTAATATACAATATTAGATAATCTATTCAGGGCGTTCTGGGCAGTGATGGCTTAGTGTTTAAGGAAGCAGACTTGGGTCTGGAAGGCTATAGGTTCTATATAATACTTTAATACTTTGGTGATGGGTTAAAAGCAGAGGTCACATTTGGTTGTGAACTACTTGTCACAAGGACAAGTAGTCCACGTTCTTCTGAAGAACAAATTTGATGCTTTGAAAAACACAGTCATGTTCTTGCTATCTAAAAATGTAACATTGTAATATGTTTTAGGCTCGATTATAAAACCTTGGCAGTCAGAAAGAAAAACCAATAGCTCTATATTGAAATTAAAAAATGCAAAACTAATTTTACCAAAATGTGTTTTGGATTAAAGCTTATGTGTGTCATGTGGTTGATATTGCCATTTATTGTTTGGCCCCCCGACATGGGTTTCCAATTATCTTGGTTACAGAGGCATGGCACTGGGACAGCAAGCCAATCACATTTAATAGAACATGCACTGACCTGTTTCAGGTTCATCTGTCTGCCTTTCTCCCTCTGTCACACACATACACATACACAAAGATTCCTGAAAGACAAAACACTCCCTATCAACTAAACACTATCTCACCAAATGTCCTTTACACTGTTTTATCTACTGAGTCTACTGCAAACTAAACCTCATTTGAAGCAATAAATATTTACTATTTCTAAAACCAAAATGCAAGTTATGGATGGAAAAAAAGTGCACCTCACAACAGATTGAAACTAAACCTGAAAAACCAAAATTGTGCTTCATTTCACTTTTGTCACTTTAGTCTGGCATAAGTTTGTGTGTACACTTTCAAAGATAGAAATAAAAACATTTGTTTCAAAACTTGGTATGGTTACATAATATTAATAATGCTTTGTTATTATTTTTAATAATATAAATTGCAAGTGTCAAAAATGGATGGATCGGTGCATGGATGGATGGATGGATGGATGGATGGATGGAAAATATAATTGCACTGACAAAAAAATCAGTTTATTGTGCACACAGGAATTACAAGGACTGGCAGTGGTGGACTTGTGTCCGGAAGGCTCCTGGTTCGAGCCCACCAACTGCCAAGTTACCACTGAGCATGGCACCATCCCCACACACTGCTCCCACTGTTCACTTTGGTGATGGGTTAAAAACAGAGGTCACACTTTTTTCTTCTTCTTCTTTCTTTAAAACAGTTTCGCAATGGATCACGACGATTTGTCGATGAATGAAAGCTTAGTCTTCTACCCACAAAGTCTGCTGCTCCAAGTGTTCTTTGGCACACTATTTTACAACTGATGCAACTCCAAGAAAGAACTCTGCACTCAATCGGAGCCTTTTTAGATTTTCGGTCGATAAGAGCCGTCCTTGACAAGGTCTTTCACAATATCTGCTGCTCTACGTAGAGTCTTCCCTGGTAGAGTCTTTCAAGGCCGCTGCTCCACAGTCTTCCTCAGCAGAGTCTTCCCACAGTGTCAGGGCCCTAAAGAGTATACACATTGGAACAGTCTGTTGTTTAGACTGGTTCTTGCAAAGTGTTACCTTGGCCCTGTGTGGGGTCAGATTCTTTTTTTTTGTCTAGAGCAGGGATGTCAAACGGCATGAGTGGGCTTCAATAAGGCCCAGTTGATGAATGCTGAAGTGAAAAAATGCTGCATGTTAATGATGTTTGTCAAATAGTTCATTGCATATATTTTCTTTCTGATATACATCATTTACCTATTTGCATGAAAACAAAGGGGAAAACCATGGATTAATTGTTATTTATAGGTAAGGTTTTTTTATGATTGAACTGGTCTGATTAGACTGGTCTTGTCTAATTATTTTAGATGTGGCCCCTGAACCAAAATTAGTTTGACACTCCTGGTCTGGAGCATAATGATTTTTCATAGACTACTATAACTTCTGTGGCGCTTTGGCCCAGCGGCAATGTCTCTGTCATTGGTGTGGCCCAGGGTTCACCTCCTGGGCAAGTTCGAATCTCTGTTAGGGTTTGTACGGTGCAGTGTGATTTGGGTGGAGACTGCTGCCCCCGCGACCCGGTAACGGATAAGCGGATGAAAATGGATGGATGGATGGACTATAACTTCTGTAGTGCCTATTTTATTACCACCATAGTTGTCTGATGCTTTCCAAGCAATTGCCCTTGGATTAAGGATTT